GGGGTTTGGGGTTTAGGGTTTGGGGTTTGGGGTTTGGGGTTTGGGGTATGGGGTTTGGGGTTTAGGGTTCAGGGTTCTTGGCTCAGGGCTCAAGGTGCAGGGTTTAGGGCTAGGGGCTCCGGGTTCAGGGTTCAGGGCTCGGGGTTCAGGGGACATGGTTCAGGGTTCAGGGATCAGGGTTTAGGGTTGAGGGTTGAGGGTTTACGGTTTAATATTTGGGGTTTGTGGTTTAGGGTTTGGGGTTCAGGGTTCGGCGCTCGGGGTTTAGGGTTCGAGGTTCGGGGTTCACGGTTCATGGTTCAGGGTTCAGGGTTCATGGTTCAGGGTTCAAGGTACACGGTTCAGGGTTCAGGGTTCAGGATTCAGGGTTCAGGGATTAGGGTTTTGGGTCTGGGTTCAGGGTTGGGGATTTAGGGGGTTTTGGGTTTAGGGTTCAGGGTTCGGAGTTCGGGGTTCAGGGTTCGGGGTTCAGGGTTTAGGGTTTAGGGTTTGGTGTTTGGGGTTTGTGCTTTGGGGTTTGGTGTTTAGCGTTTAGGGTTTAGGGTTTGGGGTTTGGGTTTTGGGGTTTGGGGTTTTGGGTTTGGGGTTTAGGGTTTAGGGTTTAAGGTTAAGGGTTTACGATTCAGGGTTCAGGGCTCAGGGCTCGGGGCTCAGGGTTCAGGTTCCAGGGCTCAGGATTCAGGGTTCAGTGTTCAAGGCTAGGGCTCAGGGCTCTGGGCTCGGCGCTCGGGGCTCGAGGTTTGGTGTTCGGGGTTCGGGGTTCTGGGTTCAGGGTTCTCGGTTCGGGGTTTAGGGTTCGGTGTTCAGGGTTCACGGATCAGGGTTTAAGGTTCAAGGTTCAGGCATCAGTGTTCAGGGTTCACGGTTCAGGGTTTACGGTTCAGGGCTCATGGCTCAGGGCTCAGGACTCGGGGCTCGGGGTTCTTGGTTCGGGGTTCGGGGTTCAGTGTTTAGGGTTTGGGGATTTGTGTTCGGGGTTCTGGGTTTGGGGTTCAGGGTTTGGGGTTTGGGGTTTAGGGTTTAGGGTTCGGGGTCACAGTTCAGGGTTCAGGGTTCAGGGTTTAGGGATCAGGGTTCAAGGCTCAGGGCTCAGGGCTCAGGGTTCAGGGCTTAGGTCTCATGGTTAAGGGTTAAGGGTTCAGAGTTGAGGGTTTATGATTTATAGTTTGGGGTTTAGGGTTTGGGGTTCGGGGTTCGAGGTTCAGGGTTCGACATTCGGGGTTCGGGCTTAACGGTTCACAGTTCAGGGTTCACGGTTCAGGGTTCAGCGCTCAGGGTTCAGGGTGTAGGGTTCAGGGTTCAGGGTTCAGTGTTAGGGGTTCGGGGATCGGGGTTCGGGGTTTGTGGTTTAGGGTTTGGGGTTTGGGGTTTAGAGTTTAGGGTTTTGGGTTTAGGGTTCGGGGTTGGGGGTTTGAGGTTTGGGGTTTGAGGTTTGGGGTTTAGGGTTTGGTGTTTAGGGTTTAGGGTATAGGGTTTAGGGTTTGGGGTTTTGGGTTTGGGGTTTAGGGTTTGGGGTTAAGGGTTTGGGGTTTGGGGTTTAGGGTTTAGGGTTTAGAGTTTAGGGTCTAGGGTCTTGGTTTAGGGTCTAGGGTTTAGGGTTTCATGTTCAGGGTTTAGGGTTTGGGGTTTGGGGTTTAGGGTTT